GTTTGAGGTTTTTCCCCCCCAAACTGGATTTTCAATACTTTCAAACTATGCTCTATCAAGCCAGCACTCAAAATGACTTGACTTGGACACTTTTTATCGCAGTATAAATGAATCTCATGTTATTTTAATTCTACTTACTTGCAATTCTACATCCGGTTTGCTTTCTCAATTCATATTCAATTCAGGAATTAAATTAGAATAGTAGTATCTCTTGAGTAACTAGAACTTCACAGTAAAATGCAATACAGTGATAATTATATATGATCGATTAGAAAAACATTATACAATCATGATCAATACATTATAATTTACAATTAATTTGTTGTGGAAACACAAGCCCCAGTCACAAATATACATTGTGCATCCTTACATTAAGCCAAAACATACCTGCATGTCCATGTTTCTTCTCCATCTTGGATGGTTTTTATCCGATCCAGTCCTCCATGACGTTGCATCTGTCATCGCCGCATGTTTTTGGAGCTTTCTGATTTCATCTCTGATTTATTATTGTGTATTTGTTTTTAAACGGCTATTCATGCAACATGACGAAAGGTGCTTCTCAAACACAGTTCTTGTTTTCTTTTCTTTATCCTCTGTATTCCTCACTATGGTGATGTCAATGAGCCTTAGCGGGAGTGTGGGCCGTCTGTCAACATTGCCTTCATTGTCGTGTGAAAGCAGGTTGGCAGGAGGACTTGAAGACGGATGCCGCTGTGTTCATCGTGCCAATCTTTTAAACAAACACAGGGGAGTGAGAAACGCAGACAGAAACACACGGATTAAATTGGTTTCAATTTGTCCTTTTAGCAGTCACAGTTCACTTCACTGTGCTTATGAACTGATGTTGGATCAGAGCTCGTACCCTCAGACTCTTCACCACATCCTGCCTCGGCAGAAGACAAAAGTGGCTTTGGATCAGCTGGAAAGAATGGGACAGAGAGCATGTCGTTTCTTGCCATTTTTTTTTTCTTACCTGGCCTTCAGCCTGTGCTATCACATCCTCCTCTGATAGCACTTTGCTGAGCTAGCGGAACTGACAGATTTATGGATGCAAAGGGAAGAAAATATGCTCCACGTGGTTATTTTTTGCTCGTTTGGCTTTTTTAGTTGTTTTTTAGTCTTCAGCATCCCATGATACCCTCTGCTATCATTTTAGATACAGGCGTCAGCTAGATCAGTTTACCAGGAGATAACGATAATTAATTTACAATTGATTTGGAAACCAAATCTTGATTTTCTAGACGTTCAGTTCTTTTAGTGGTTTATGGAACATCTGCATTGTTTCCGCAGATGTGGACAGAATATCTTAATAAATAAAAAAAATGAAAGCATTAGTGGTGTTGTCATGATAATGAGCACATGCTTTATTTTCTGTCAGCTGTGTACAGTAAATGCACTTTTATATAATAACTTTTTACGTAAATATATTAAAATAAGAACTGGTTCTTTTAAATAATAATATTTCAAAATGTTGTTATTTTTGCTCCAATAAATGCAACCTTGGTGAGCATAAGAGACTAAAAAAGAGACCAAACCCGAACTTTTGAACGGTAGATTATATTCTGCAGAATTAATGGGGACTGTAGTTTAACAAGCCTCAAACAGAATGCAAAAACATCATAAAAGTAGTCCGTATGACTACGTCCGCCCTAGTTCTCCGTGAGTCATTTGAACTATTTGTGCATTACTTCTTTTATGTCCTTTTTGAAGTTTGAATGTTCCAGTTCTCATTCATTGTAATTGCATGGAAAAGCGTGACAGAATCTCGTGACAAAATTGTTTGCCTTTGTGAACTATTCCTTTAAGAGAGATATATCAAACTAGATCCATTAAATGCAAACTTGCAGTGCACGAAGAATTTTACAAACATCGTCCATTTATTCTTCCTCAAAATTACTTAAATACTGAACCGTTAAGGAACTGGAACTATGTAATCATTTAATGTTTGAAATATCCCTTCCTTGATTTGAAAAGCAAAGTGATGGTTACGTTTTGGTGTGTCTTTTAAACTGGCCATCTTTGGAGCAAGCAGTTGCGTGCAAACACTGAATCTTTGAGAGTGATTTGGGGACAGGCTCTGAGGAGAGAAGGCCTTTGGTGCAGCGGTGAGCTCAGCCTCGAGACTCACGGCCAACAGAGCCGTCAGGGAAGTGGAACAGACTCGGAGATAATGACCAGCCAGACTCCATCTCTCTGTCTCTCTCTCGTCTTAACTCTTTGACAACCTTTATCCAAGTGTCTTCTGCATGAACCGTTCTGACTCCCCCGAGATCACAGGCTTCTGTAAGTATGTGCTAACTACAGTGTTTCCTTACAGCGCCATGGTAAAAGAAACATTTTTCCAGAGATGTAAGCTTGCAGTCTGAATTATGATGAGGTATCACATGTATCATTACGTATTTCCATTGTCTTCACTGGCCGCACTCAAACAGTGTAGCCTGATTCATGAACAACATGACTCTTATGAGGTGATTCATTTAATGAATTTCTCAAATTATACTGTAAAAAGATGCGTTTAAAACACTCATTTGGAACGGAGTTTAAATGTTTTTTTAAGTAGAATCTTACTCCCATCCATAGTGCTAACCAACTTTAGCCATCTAGCAGAAAATAAGCGTTTTTCTGGCTTTCTGACCTGCTACTGTGAACTTGCTCCTGCTATTCTGTTTCTACGGTTGTCAAAAGTGTCTGCGAATCATTTCCCCCACATCGTATTCCGAGAAAAGGTTTGTTTCTCAATGTCTCCAGACCTGTTGGAACAGGCAGACAGTCCCTCATTGATGGCAGAAAGCATGTCCAAAGGGCAGTTACTGACATCAGCCCCTTATTGCACACTTCTTCATCCCACCCCATGCATCTCTCTGTTTACATGCAGTTGGACTTGGTTGTATTCGTAGTCCGTATACAGTTTCCATTTTGCAGATTTTATTACAGGTAAAATAGATGAATAATTCCTAGATCTGACTTCATTATATTTTAGATATTAGAACAATTCACCAGGGAAGACTAATAGCCTTAAATGCACTCTGACATAGAGTGCACCATACAGTGGTGAAATCAACCACATTAGACCATACCTTACAATTTTAACATTTACTTATTTTATCAGTAATGATATCTGCAATTAAGTCTGCTGCTCAGATGAGTTTCTGGTGTGTGATCAGTGTCTCTTGCAATTAATTTATTAAATTATTCATTTATTATTATTATTATTTTTTTTTGCATTTATTTAACTGGCTTAAGTTCATGTAAGGAATAATGTAAATCCAGCTGGTTGTTATCGCAGAATAAACCGGAATAACATACCACTGGATGACGAGATTGTCCAATCAGAATCAAGTATTGCACAGACCCGTATAATAAAACAAGTTAAGACACTTTTTGGACAATTTTTCTTGATTTTAGCTTGACTTGTTGAATTTATCATCTGTTTGTTCTGGTTTCTTCCTGGTTTCCCCTAAAAATGGACGTTGCATCTTTGCAAAATCTCTTTACAGGCTCTTGCATGTACCAGCAGCCAAGATTCCCTTTCAGAGGATGATCGCAAGCTGCACATTTAATGGCTGTGGATTTCACATTTCACTTAAGCATATCCAAAGATCTGTAGCACATCTTTCACATTAAAGGGGTCATCATATTCTACGCTTTTGTTGCATTTTATTAGCCTGGCTCCGTCAATTTTTTACCGGTCCAATCAGTGAACAGAGGGAGTGGCTGAGAACGATGACGTTGATGTCATACGTCATGACCAAACGTTAGCGATTGGTTATGGCAGATCCAGAGTGGCTCTGGGCAGATCCAATAGTTTTAGACATCAACATAGTACCCGCCTACAAGGAAGTTAACGCTTGTCAATGGAGATCAGACTCTCTGTACAAATGAAATGTACGAGAGTCTGGTGGGACCAGGCTAGCATTTTATACCTTTCCCCCTGAAGTCTATTGTAATGTTATTCAAGGTTTCTTGCACCAGAACAGTTGTGATTTAGCTTTGCATGACCATTATCCACCTGCTCTTTGACTTTTTATGCTACTGTACCTTTAAGAATTTTCTATGCCTTTAAGTATGCCTTTCTATGCCTTTAAGTAGTCAATCACAAAGTAAGACCTTTGTGATTGACTAACCCCTGCATACCTGCACAGCCCTTTCGGTTTTTCATTTATTTCAAAAGAGAAAGAAAAATCCTGTTTTTCATTATGTATCCATCTAGAATTACTACTATACTGTATTTTTTACAATTACGTGGTGTTTTACATATGTTCCTATAATGCAGTATTGTTCGCGTGTACACGTCTGTCTGCAGGCTCGAAAGCAAACAAATACTCTCTCGTTGCTCACCCTTGCTTGCTTGTCATCGGACTGCTCTGAATAAGTCAGCTCACTCTTTAGGGCTCTCCGTATAGTCTTTTGATGACAGAGTGATGAACACGAGTGTGAAAACCTTTCCCTCACTACCCATCGAACATATCGCCACCCCTCCTTGCCTTGCCCCACAAAATGCCTTTTATTTTCACGTTCCACAGGGTCCCTCGTTCCCATGCTGTCCGTCTTGTGAAAACAGGACACATAGTTTCCACTGCGGGCTAATGAAAGACGAATCCTGTCTGTAATGGTGGGACTTTCACAAGGCTGCTTCTAGTTTGACCAAATACTGAACTAAACCCACTTAATCTGCGCGGGCTTTAGTGTGTGAGTGCGTGTCCGTAAGTTCGTGCAGCGTGTCAGTGCACTTTCGCCTTCGCCAGAAATAGCTTAATTGTGTTTGAAGAAATCTGCACCGAGGCGTTTGCTTGTTTACACTGCGGTCACAATGGTGTGTGTGTATATTTGTTTGGCTCTGTGTGACTATGCGCAGTCCCCTAAAAGACACGCAACTCAAGGCATGAGAAGGCCATCTGCTGTTCCCCCTCTTTTTCTCTCCTGGTTTCCCGCTAATCTACAGCATTCGACATACCGATGCACTGACCGAGCTCTTCCTCTTCTTGTTTTTGCATTCATAGGGTCAGTACCGGCCTTCAGACCTCCTGTGCCCTGAAACGTACGCTTGGGTGTCCATCGAGAGATGCATTTCCCGCCTTGAGATCTCCGCCTACTCTCGTCTCAACGAGAACGCCCAAGCAGGTTAGCCTTCAGTGGGACTATAAAACACTTACACATCAAATCCATCTCACAAGAAAATATCAGGTTGTTTTTAAAGTTTTCGTGTTTTAATGGCTCATTTTCTCTCCTAATTGTCATTACTGCATCTGGACGCTTTACTTTTGACTTTAACTCATTTGTTTTGACATCATTGAATTATATTATTTTTTATTAAATACAGCATACAGGAAGTTCAACAAATACCAACATATATGGTTTATTTATATTTATTTACGGTACATATGTTTATATATTTATGTTTTAATTACAATAATAAGAACTGCCCTTCATTTTTTTTTAAATTGGTTTAACAAAAAATATTATTATTATTATGCCCTGTTTTAACACTAAAATAAGCAAAATATAATTTCATATTTTCTTTTGATTTTGGAATGAAATTTCACCCTAGATTTTCAATTTTATATATAAATAACAATACATTACATTAAAATCATATAGAAAAATGATATAGTAAAAAAAAAACAATAAAACAATACAAATTATATATTATAATATATTAAAATGTTAATGTAATATATTATTATTATTTTTTTATTATGCTTTTGCTATATAATTTATATATATATATATATATATATATATATATATATATATATAACATTTATAATAATATTTTAGTAATATATAATTAATTTATATATAATTTTAATGATATTTATATCCTATTTAGTCTAAAATAGGCTTTATTTCTATAAGCAAAATACAATTCCTATTTTTTTGCCACATTGTGAGGTTCACCCACTGTCACCTGTTCTGTTGCACGTTCAAAAAGATCCTGTAGTTGAACCTCTAAACTCTCAAAAGACATTGGCAGTTCTTCCCTTTTCCAGAGCCAATCTGACAAGACCTGACAAAGTTTTAGGTCCAGCCAACCTTTCCCTAACACAGCTGACTGCGCTTATCAAATGCTGTCTGTTTAGTGTCAAAATTGCATCAGGTTATTGGACTCTGGGTCAGATGGAGCGAGCTCTGATGGAGATCCATCATCACAAGTGGGTTCGGGACCCATTTGACCACGTCATGACACTTTACTATCAGACTTGCTAATCAGTTTGACAGATCGGTGGAGTCTGCAGGGGCCAACTGTAAAATCAATATGTAACAGCAGTTCCCATGTCTGTAATTGCACAATATATGTCATTTGTGTCAACTTAATTACGGTAGCCATTCTCTCCTTGGATGCCATTGCTTTGGAGCTCAATTTGTAAACTGTCAAGTGTGTTTATAGATTTCAGTTCTGTGAACAAAAGGAGGGGTGCATTGGTCCTGGGTTTTGTGTGTTGAAATAACAGGACTGGATCCAGGCATGGAGAGCATCCAGGATTCTGTTGCGGCAGTCAAGCGGGTCAGTGCTGTGGTCTCAGCCCAGAACTCTGGGGTTGATGACGATAATAATAATAATAATAATGTCAGTACCGACAAGTAGACGCCATGCTTGGGCCAAAGAGGGAGGGTGAGGCGCTGAAGAGCTCTTCTTATTCTTCCCTGCTTTTTCGTTTTTGTTTCTCTTTGCCTAACTTTCAAGTACATTAGCAATGTTTAAACACCTTTTCAGTGTTTATTAGTACTGTTTTTCTCATTTTAGAATAATAGTAAAGTCTTGAACACTATGAAATAACACCTGGAAGTATATAGTGACCAAAATAATGCAATCTGTCTCATATTTGAACTGCACATTTATTGGCATTCATCAACCAACTTCATGAACTGCATCATGAACATGTATACTGGACATTTTTGTATGGTGTCCGCTCCAAACATCCATTTAAAATATCGTTTAATACAGAAATTCGAACATAGGAATGATTTGTATTTGTTTACAAAACTATCAAAAGGTTTTCAAAATCAGTTATCAGTTAAAATAAGTAGTATCACTAGTAGTTCATTTAGTTTTTACTGTTTCTTGTGCTTAATTAAATAGTTTTAATTGTGAAAAGTGGGCGTTACAGTACATACCAGAATGGAGTCAAGTGGTTGGAGAAATTGAGAAGTAAGAGGGATTCGTCAGGTCATACTAAAAACAAATTATGTTTTTTAACTTTGAACAAACTGCACAGATGAATCGTCTACATAAGACCAGAAATTTGTATCAAGGCAGTAAATAGGTTAAGTAAGAATGCTTCAATCCTATGGAATCTTTTCCAACAGAACTTCTCAGAACTTCTTTGTATAAATGGTTTGTTTGATAAATATTTTGCCTAATTTGATTATTCATCCATCAACATAAGTGTAGTTCTTGCAGCACAACTCATTCCGCAGAATTTCTTTTCCACTACCAGGAAATGTGGGGCGAAAATTCAATCTAATCCTGTTTTTGACAAACAGTGTTATTACATTTAAAAGTGTGTCCCACTTGTAGCTGAGAACACATTGCTGATGTGCTTCTATGCAGTACTTATGTAATTTGAGAGGCGCATAGAGTCTCCGTTGTTTATATTGCCCAGTTAAATCAGGATGTGCCACTCGAGCCCACAGCAGAGGTGTGCTGACCGTCACGCGCAAAGATAGTTCACTATTTAAAGAACATGGTTTATAGAGGCGTATCTGTTATTCTGTCAACATTGTGAATTCATATTTAATGCTGGGTGATATGGCAGATAAAAGAAGGATTGCTTTAGGATGCCAGAGACACGTCCACCCCGGACAGACAACAATGCATTTATTTTTCCTTCTCGTCGTGATCTTTATCCGACCATACCCTCATGTGTGTTTAATGCCAGACGTCCCTCTTCACCCAAAAATGATAATGCTGTCATTATTTACTTACCCTCATATCATTCCAAACCTGTATGCTGTTATTTCTACAAAACAAAACAAAAAATAATAAAAAAATTAACGTATACACTACCGTTCAAGTTTGGGGTCAGTAAGATTTTTTTTAATGTGAAAGAAATCTCTTATTTTTAGCCGCCAGGGCTGCATTTATTTGATCAAAAATACAGTAAAAACAGTAATATTGTGAAATATTATTACAATTTAAAGTTTTATAAAAAAAAAAAAAAAAATGTATACCTGTGGTGGCAAAGCTGAATTTTCAGCATCATTACTACAGTCTTCAAAGTTTCAAATTTGCTGCTCATGCAACTTTTCTTATTATTATTAATGTGGAAACGGTTGAGCTGCTTAAAATTTTTTTTACAAGTTGTGATGCAATTTTTTTAGGATTATTTGAAAGCAAGGGGAAAAAAACTGCTTTTATTTGAAATATACTTTTTTTTCTTTTCTTTTTTACAATTTAAAATGTCTGGAATTTTGGATCAATTTAATACTAAATATTCACCAAGGATGCAACAAATAAGTATTAATTTCTTTAAAAACAAAAACAAAAAAAAAACATTTGAACTCCAAACTTTTGAATTACTTTTGAATTTACTTATTGGAGCTCCGCTGTCACTAGTCATTATGAACTATATTATATGTCAAATGTGAAGATTCATAAAAAAAAAAAAAATTGGGGGTTTGGAACAACATGAGCAACATAATTTTTCATTTATGGGTGAATTTTTCCCTAAAAGGAACAATAGCAGTACTTTCAGAAATTGATCTCACCCATCTGATCATGGCAGTTAACACACTTTCCTTCATCAGGTTAATTTGTCTTCACATTCGACCCTGTCGGCCCTGTAAACACACTGGGGCAAGTGTAAGTGGGCCTGTACTTCTCTTGTGTGTAAATATTTAAGTTATAGCTGAGCGTTTGGATGTTTAAATGGAGTGAGGGTTGAGGTAAAGGTCAAGGAGAGATTACGTTCACGGTCAGCAGATCCTCAGCAATGTGTGGCGTTTGAACTCGCCTCTGAAGCCGCTGATGAAGAGGGTGTAAAAACTCTATGATCCTTATGGGATTGTCATGTAAGTGAGTGATACCGTTTCCGTATGGACATGATATTTAGTACGAAGTAGAGCTGCACGATTCTTGATAAATTTAATTTTTTAATTTTTTTTCATCATGATCATGATTCTGAATGGACAACTAAACAAAATAACATGTAATTTACCAGAGGTTCTGAAAAAATGTTAGTTGCTACAGTCTTTTAAAAAATATTTATCAATTAGATTTTTTTTAAGTCAGTTTGAATGAATGATTCAATGACTCTCCTATAAAGACTTCACCTGTTTCATGACTGGATGAATCAGCGTTTTTGAATGAATCTCTTGAGTGAATGATTGAAATTAAGTCACTTGTTTCCACCTACTGGTGTAATGTAATTGATATAATCTTTGTTTGAAGTGTCCAGTTACTTTCAAAACGTGATTACCGGTAGTCTATTTTGACCATTTGCCTGGTTAGGACACATGTTAGGATGACCGTTTTCTAAATCAAAAATGCAAAAATGATATTGTCAAGTCTATAAATTATATACAGTAGTTAAGAAAAATTATTTGAATATGTTTTTTTTTTTTTTTTTTTGAGTGAATGATGCCAATAAGAATGACCTCATTGCAGTCCTTATAGCTTCCCACACATTTGGTACTGGTTTTGATTGCAGAGCTTGGGAGGCCCTTGGTCTTGTTTGACCTACCTCCGTGCTGACTGGCAACCAGACACGGGCCTTCCTTTCCCCCAGTGTTTTTAAATCGTTCTTGTGGTGCCTCCAGTCCTACATGACCTGTTGTTCTTGGCCTGACAGACCAACTATTTCAGGCCTGTTTCTCAGCAGAGCTCAAGGCCAGCGGTCTGACGGTTGGTTACAAGGTCGATGTTTAGATTCTATGAAAGCCACATTAGGAAACTAATCTAGAAATGTCTGCGTTTATAAACTACATGCCCTCTTTCAAAAACTGAGAGAAATATGATGCTTTTAATAATAGTTTATTTGGAACTATGAAATTGTCCTAAGCTAAGGTTAAGCTCACCCTCTTAGAGAGAGAATTCGTCCATCATTTACTCACCCTCATGTTGTTCCAAACATATATATACATTCTTCTGTAGAAATGAAAAGAAGATATTTTAGTAAATG